CTTTGCACTCGCTGGTCAAATGTTCACCGTTGCCAAAACGAAATTTGACTTTGCTATCGACTCTCTTGATGGCTTGTCGGATGTCGGGTTGCAAGTCCTCTAGAAAATGATTCAAGTTCACCGAACCAATTACACATCTAGAGGCACCGGTGTCCAGGATGGCATGAGAGGCCGAATGGTCGGCCTGAGCGATGAAGCTATTGTTCATCGTGACATCGCGGGATCGGCTGGATTCAATGTCCGGCTTGGTCCTGACAGGTGACGAGGCGCGATGATTCTGGACATGAAAGTTCTCTTGGTGAGTATATTCCTTACTAAGAAAACGCTTGCATGCTGTTGGAAAGTCGGATTCGATTGGGCTCAGGGCATTGAAGAACGAAAGCTGTTGCATAATCCCCGGGATTATTACCCTCAAAAGCTTTACTACCCCTTCCAATTACCGATAGCCCCATGGTTGATACATGACTGGCCTGAGAATCATCTGAGAAGACCTCCAGGATGTCGTCATCCAGCACTCCATCACTCTCGGGGATGGTCTGGAGATCTCCGGTCAACGGAGCTTCGGCTAGATTTGCGCTTTCGCGTGACTGAGATGATCCGGATGTCTTGTTTGGACACTCAGCACGCCAATGCCCTTTCTCACCACATGCCCTGCAATGTGAACGAGCAATCCGAGCAAGAAGCTGTTCACGCCTCTTGCCCTTTCCACCTCCCTTGCCAGATTTGCCTTTCTTGCCTCCTTTGGAGGCATGTGAAAAGGAGCTCTGAACTGGCCAGAATCCTCGGGTCTTCCGTTTGTCTTGAAGTCGTGATCTCGCATCCATGTATGTCACCAATGCTTCATGCATTGTAGGGGTGTCCTGCAGAAACTCTTCCAGTTCATGTTCAAACTGTTGTACTGCTTGTGCGTCCTCATCGTTCTGGGCGATCATGGCTTCAATAAACTCTCCTTCAAGATCTGGATCGTCCAACGCAGTCAAGAATGTGAGTGCTTCCGTCGAAGACGCCGGATGCGATACCCCGGATTCCAACTCTTGAGAGGCAGCAAAGGCCGGTTCGCTGTCACATTCGGTCAGGTGAGCATCGTAAACTTTGGTCTTTGTGCTTAAATAATCTGTTTTTTTATAACATGTTATCGATGTTAAATGATTTAATAACAAGTTATAACTGTATGTGAACTAGTTATAACAAGTTATAAGTAGGGTTTAAGTAGGGTTTAAACAGTTATAACTTGTTAAGTTAAGTAGATGTTTTAGTAAAAATTGTTAACTTTTAGCTAACTATGTTAAGTCAATGTTAATTTTTAACTTGAGTTAGGCAGAGTTAGTAAAAATCAACTAACATAAGTATTGAAAAATCATTTTCCACATTGTAAGTTTTTTGTTTTAGAAAATTAAGAAAGTTCTATTCTAATGTGAACTTTTCAATAAACCACCATAAGAATAATCAGCCAGCATGGCATTCAATTTTGTAAAAACATCATCAAGTGCAGTTACTTTGCCCAAGGGTGCAACATGAAGGTTGACATCCAAACAATCACAACCATTAGCTGCAATGATTGCAAAGCAATCCCAGTGCCTGCCAATTTGATTCAAGAGCATGGTGGCCGCCAATGGTTGAAGCTGAGACCTACATGCCAGCAACTCAACCAAATCATTTATGGCAAGGTTGGCAAGAATGCTTCTTTTTCCAACCACACAGGCTTCCAAGACTTCATTACCAAGAGGAACCAACTGTGGGCCAGAGGAGCTGGTGAAGACCAGCCACAAGAGACTGTCTATGAAGAAAGTGACCAGAGCACCCAGAGGACAAAGGCCAAGAAAAGAAGACTTGATGACCCAGAGGTTCTCCAAGTACCTCTGGGTGAAGCTACCATTGAGTGCTTGATGCAGGGGCAGAGGCCAACCAAATCAGATCTGGTGATGCCATTGGGAGAGAGCCAGCTGGTGCCAATTTTTGAGCTCTTGCAAGAGGACCAAGATACTTTGAAGACAAGGAAGCCTTACCAGAAGAAGGCATCAGTTCCCAAAGACTAGCTGCCATAGAGGTAGCAAATCACCAGAGGCAATGGCTATAAAACAATGAATTGCAGTTACTGTCAGATGCTGTGTGCCAATTTGTGGCATTCTACCATTGCTTGGCAGCCTGATGGCATTGCATCATTATGAAACCAACTTTGAAGCATTTGAATTTGGCTTCTTGTAACCCAGAATCACAAACAATAGCACCAGGTATCCACCACCATGCATTGGCTCCAGCAAAGTTGCATTGGCTCAACACACTTGCTGACCGCCATGAGTGTGGTTGACCCAGCCTGTGTGAAAGCCATAAACAATCTATTGGCATCCAAATTGCCAGTGAACCAAATGGTGGACCAGGTTGTCCACACTCTCAAAAAGCAAGGTTTGGCCTACCACTCTGTGGTCACACCAAGCCAAGTTTTGTGCCACCCCCACAACAGGGCCAACCAAATGCTTTCATGGTTGGACATGTGGGACAAAGGCCAGAAGATGATGGCCATTGGTATGAAAAGGCAATTCCTTGGAGAATCCATGGCCATAGAGATCTCACCAGACCCTGCCAAGAGGTCTGAGCAGCTGATGGCCAATGAGAACCTCATCAAGGAGGCCAATGGTGCCATGGCACCCATGACAGGTTCTGAGCGTTCTTTGGTTGCCATGACAGCTATAAGGTTTATGCTTTTTGTCAGCCTAAAGAATCACAAACAAGTAGCTGGCATTCCATGCTTCCATTGCTTCCATTTGTTCATGTCCATGCTGAGGTTTCCTCAGCTTGTCCACCAGCCACACCACAGCTTTTCTGAGGGCCATCAACCATGGTTGCCTGCCAGATGAGCAGCCTCCCATGGAAGTGCGCAAAGATGATCCATGCTGGGACCTCATCCAGAATGGGTGGTCATGGCTCATTTCGAGCCATTTGGTGGAAGGCCAATGGCCCATGCTACCCACCCTGCTGCAAGGGGCCATGAACTCTGCCAACTCCATCTCCAAGGCACCAAATGAATTAGAGCTTGCTGCCCAGCTTGGCCACCTGTTCAGCCTCAATGTACCACTTCATGAAGCCAAGGAGAAAGTCCAAGCTGCCAATACTTGCCAGCCTGAAGTTTTGACCTACCTCAGTCATTTTGTGAAAACATTTTCAGGTGGGCCAAAATTTCCCATGTTGGATTTCCTACAAAAGTTCAGTGGCCTGGATGCAACCAAAGGCTTCACAAATACCATTTGTTTGCTCTATACCACCAACCATGAATGTTACCAATTTGGATGATTTGGGCAAGCAAAACCATTAGCTAGTTATTTGCAAATGCGACCACCATTCAAGGTAGGAATTTCAACATCCAGCTCCAAGTTGGCCAAGATGTTTTGGAAGCAATGTGCTACACCAACTTCAAGGTCACTGGTGAAATCTTTCCCATGCTTCGAGTGGCCATGTGGTGCGCCATGTTGGGGACAAACAAGCACCAGGACAACATCCAAAGGATTCTCACCAAAGCCGATCTGGACAAGCTGAAGACTGCCAATGCCAAAGAGAAGGTCATCACAGCAGAACACCAGCTCCAAGGTGCTTGGCCCATTGTTGCCAAGAGACTGTGGAGGACCAGAACCACAGCTATAAATGCTTTGGCAGACTGTGCACCAGGACCACCCTGTTTTTGGTTGGCAAACAAAAGCACAGCAGGGAATCCAAGTCCTATGAGGATTTGGGCCAAATCTTGGAAGCCTTTACCCAAGAGATGGCCAAAACTCACACATGTGAAGCCAAGGAAGAGCTTGAAAGCCAGACACCTCAAGATGTGCTGAGTGCCAGTGCACAGGACATGGCTTTGATTCAGAACCCTAACATGAAGCCAGGTGAAGTGCACCTGGACTTGTGCAATGTAAGCTTTTGGTTGCCCATTTGCATTACACCACCAGGCAAATCACTAAATAGCCAGTCGCTGGTGCATGTGCTTCCTGTTTTGGGCAGCCCAGGTACAATTGCCAGAAGGACCATCCTAGTTTGGTCTTTGAGTTCACCAATGTCAAGGACAATGCCATCACAATGGTGCACAGGCCACATCTAGGACCATTGCTCAGCATTGATGTTCCATTTGATGATCTTCCAAAGTGGAAGGTGTCCAAAGCAAAGATGCCACAGATTTGCCCAGCAGAGACTGCTGCTGCTTTGCTGCCCCACAAGGTACCCATGGCCAAAGAAGAGCTTTCCAAGTTGCAAGCAACCATGGCTTTGCATGAAGCATGTGAAAAGCACCAAGTGGATCACAACCAGATTGCTTTTGCTCAGAACCCAATGGGTCTTTGGACACTCCAAGCAATCAAAAAGGCTAAACAATTGAAGTTGGTGCCATTGGGCTCATTGGCCAAATTGAAGGGGAAGGAGCCAAGGGGGTGCATACTCATGGAGCATGGTGGCATCAAGTGGCAAATCCACCCTTGGAAGCAATACCAAGCCTGGGGTGAAGATGCCAAGAGCCAAGAGACATTGGTGCCATTTTGGTGGTGCAAGAGTGGCAGTGAACAATGCAACATGGAGATCCATTCCATCACCATGACAACTAGCAGTGGCAATGTGAAGATCCCAGTCCTCACCAACACCGTAGCCATTGATGCCAACCAGTTGCTATTGTACCCAAAGCCTGAAGATAATGAGAACATGGGTGGAGGAGAAAGCTCCCAACCCAAAAAGAAGCTGAAAGCCACAAAGTAGCTATCCTAGTCCAAGTGCCACAGATGCCTCCAACATGTTGCAAAACATTGTGCGCAAGCTGCTGCAGCTGTGTCCATAGCAAAGCAGCCATGATGGCATTGCATCAAATGCCAAATGTTTTACAACCTTACAGGACATGTTCAGTCTGCCAAACCATGGCCCTTCAAGTATTCTCCATAGTAAAGAATTGTTCAAGGCCAATGTCTGCTTGCTGCCACTGTTGTTCAAGGAGTGCTCACAACCAGGCTGCCAAACTGACTGAGCCATGCAAGAGCCAGAAGCAGGGCAAACACCAGAAGTTCAACCAAATGCCAAGCTCATCGAAAGGAACCTGGCTTGGACAAGCCATCTGACATCCACTTGGGGATTGTACTACCAATGTGCCACCCCAGAATGCCCAAGTTGGATTTGGTGTTCCAAAATTGGGCCAGGTTTGTGGCCTGACTGTGTTCATTGTGGCAGGACATGGCAATCCACTTTGAACATTAGCCAGCCAAGCCAATGGAATGCACCAAAGTTTGGGCCTTGAAGGTTCCAAATGTGTCCAAGAACCTGGCTGACTTTCAAGCCTGGTGAAAAAATGCACAAATGCATTGCAGCCATGGGTGTGTATCATATTTGATTAATTGTTTTCATGGTTAGCCATTGCTTTGACAGTCCATGTTGAAGCAGAGATGTTGCCACTTTGGCATTCCATCAGCCACCTTGGCAGTTCATCAGCCAAGCTCTTTACCAAGGCTTCTTGAGGTCATTGCATCTCCTGCAGCCACACTGCTACCAGCTACCAGCCAAACCGAGAGAAAGAGGTACTTCCAAGCCATGGGTGGGAACCAAAGCCAAGAAGAGCAGCCCCAGCAGCAGAGCTTGGCCCAGTGGATGTGGCAACCAGACCAAGGCCAACAGGCAGACCACTGGGAGGTTCCAACTATTGTTTGTTGGCCTGCCAAATGAGCTGGCAGGCTACTCCAGGTGGAGTTTACATGCCAGGGCCACCAGAAGTAATGGATCTCACTGTCTTCTTCACCAATGATAGCCCAACCTGGTACAAGCAAGTCTGTTCCAACCAGAATTGTACCAGTTGGATTTGGATTGAGAAAACCAAATCCAAGACTCACCAAGCCTGCAGGCTCTGTGGCCAACCTTGGGTGGTCTCCTTTGCCACCCAAGGGCCAACCAAGTGTTTTGGCTAGTTTCACACCAGACCAACAGAGCTGGCCAAGGAAAAAATGAATTACTCAAGTGGTCATTCAACTGTCCATTCTGGCATTTCATCAACTATGATAGTATTTCACCCATACATAGATGTATATGTATGTTTAAGATCCTGTTACATTTTAGTTAACCTATATTTTTTGGGATACCAGCCAGTATGGTATTATATGAAGAAGCCCATTTGCCTCATAGCCAGCTTGGCATTCCATCAACAAACCAATATTTATCATACGCGAATATATTGCAGTATAGCAACAAAGCAATTTATAGCCAGTTTGGCATTTTATCAACAAACCAATGTATTTCATATGCATTATATTAACTAACCAATTTTGTTCATAGCCAGTTTGGCTCTCCATCAACACACCAATATTTATTGTTACCATTAGGTCACCACAGCCACCAAATGCCTTTTGGTAACTAGCTGCCATCCAGGTGTTCAAGCCACTGTGTTCCAGAGCTCCAGGCCACCACAGCCTCAACAGCCATGGTTGCCAAGAAGCCATCCACTGTGGTGAAGCGGCCAGCCATTGGTGCTCCAACTGAGGTGCCAAAGTTGGCACCCCATTTGGCTTTGGCATGCTCCAAGCCAGGTTGCCAGTCCTGGGTTTGGATCTGGATTGCCAGTTGTGCGGCCAGAGTTGGTTCCAGTCCTACTTGGACCATGGCTGCCAGATCAGGTCCAAGGATGAGGCCAAAGGCCACACTGTGCCCAAGGTCCCAGAGCATCCAGAGCTACCAGATGCCAACAAGGCCATGAAAGCCATGAAGACCATGCAGAAGACTGGTTCCAGCACCATGAAGGCCATGAAGGTCACCAAGACCATGAAGGCCAACAAGGCGACCAAGTCCAGGAAGACCCACCAGGACAAGGCCAAGTGAAGACCAAGGAGATGACAGCCAACCTTCTTCCACTGACAAGCTTTGGTGTGAAAAAAAAAGTGTGCGCAGATCCTGTTGCCAATCTCATAGCCAGCTTGGCATTCCATCAACAAAGCCATGTATTTCATAGCCAGTTTGGCATTTCATCAACAAAGCCATGTATTTCATAGCCAGCTTGGCATTTCATCAACAAAGCCATTTATTTCATAGCCAGTTTGGCATTTCATCAACAAAGCAATTTATTCCATAGCCAGTTTTGCATTGTAGCATTCAACCTTTTGGTGCCAACCTATCTATGTAAAGGGTAGATCATTTGTCGTATTACACTTGTTGTGCTACAGCCATAGGTTGTCATTTGTTGTTTATTTTATGAATAGAATTTCCACTAGTAGCTATCCATGGTGTATGGTTCAACTCTCTGAGGTGTCATTGTTGTAGCCATTTTAGCTATCCATACAAGCAAGGTTTCCAGAGGTTTCTAGCCATGTCAGCTACTACCATCCAGATTGACGACTATGCCATGACAGAGGAGGCCAACCAGCTGAAGTTGGTCCTGTACTTCAGTGATGGCACCAGCCAAAAGTGACTTGACCAGATGTTTTATTTATTGTTCAACTCCAATTGTATTTGAACTTTATTTTTGTTGTTTTAACCAACTCAGGTATCCAAGGCCACCACCAAATCCTGATGGTAGAATGAGATCCAAGTGGGCTGTTGTCCACAGTTTGTGCCGCACATCCATGGCCATGTACAGAGTCTACCAGGCACCAGGCCAAGAGCCAGAGGTCATTGAGTCAGCCCAACTTGCCAAACAAATCCATGAAGTTGGATACCAGGAGGCCATACCATTGGTCCACAAGTGGTTCAGCTAGACCTAGCCAGTTCCAGAAAAGATAAAACATTTGTCGCATTCAGTTGTCATTTGTTGCCATTATGGCATTTCATCAACTTACCATTTGTCAACATCTGCAGTGCATCATTGGCCATCATTGGCATTTCATCAGTGTTTGGTTTGCCATCTTTGGCATTTTATCAATGAAGTATTTAGAAATGTAGTTGGTTTGAGTTCAACTTCAATCAAAACCATTCAAAAAGTTAAGTTCAGAATTCTGAACCTAACTCTAATAATTTCAGAGTTAGGTTCAGAATTCTGAACCTAACTCTTAAAATTTGAGAGTTAGGTTCAGAATTCTGAACCTAACTCTTGAATTTTGAGAGTTAGGTTCAGAATCTGAACCTAACTCTGAAATTACTGAAATTAGGTTCAGAATTCTGAACTTAACTTCAAACAGTTTTGAACTAGCTTCATACTTCAAAACCTAAATATTTTAATAAATTCAGTAAATATTCATTGATTATTGTGTTAATTTAGTTCTTGAAATGTTCAAGAGAACATTGAACTATTCAAGAAATATACGCACAATTTATGTATTTCAATCAATACTTATCACAATAACAATACTTAAATCATATACTATCTATTCTAGAATAAAGCTGTAAACATACAAACAGCTAATACATTTTCAACTATATAGACAAAGACCTATGTCTAGATTAACATATACTTAGTATCCACCACTACCACCTTCTCCTAGTGCCTTTGCCATGGATCCACAACAAAGAGCAGCCATACAAGTAACTGTCAGCTAGATGAACATGGAGGATGTTGAGCTTTTCCTCATGGAGAGACATGACCATGCAGCCAGAGCCTTTGAGGCCAACAGAATGGCCATGGAAGATGAACTATCCTTGGTAGCCAATGAACAGCAATGGTACCAAGAGCATGACCAGGAAGCAAACCAAGACCATGATGAAGAGATGGCCAGTGCCAGTTCAACTCCATCTGTCAGTGTTAGAAATCCATGGAGCAGATATTGGGATGCCACTGGTAGGCCTTTCCAAGATGCACCATGGAACCAAAAGAAACCTCAGCCATCAGATGAGGCCACAGTGGGAAGCAGCAATGCTCTCCCATCAGAAGATGTACCAGTGGCAGGCACCACCAGCAAAGCAGCTAGCCCTGTGTCCAATGAGCCAGGGAATGTCTCCAGAGAATCTACTCCAAAATCAAGCCAGTCCAAGCCACCAAAGGGCTTCAACACAGGATGGAGATCCAAGATGGTGTGGGTGGTGGCCTGGTACCAGAACCAGGACTGGTTGATCATTGAGGAAAAGCTCCAGCAGATGGAAGAGCATCTCCAAGGAGGAGCCACCAGCAACCAGTCCTGGAAGTTTAAGGCACAGAGATTCTTCCAGTACTACAAAGAACAGAGATGGTCAGATATTGACCAGCTGATCCAGTGGTGTCTTGTTGTTATTTGAAAGATTTTGATTTTTTTAACTACAGCCATGTACACGTACATTGTAACACTTACCTACAGAAATATTCACAATTACACAACTAGATGCATAGAAGTACCACATCAAGGAAACCTCCAGCATACATTACCAATCCTTTACTGCATGCACCCTGGTGGCCCAGGTGGAGCATAGACACTACCTTCCATGCTGCAGTCCAAGCCCAGCTGAGCCAATTGAAGAACCAAGGCTACAGCCCACAACAGCCCCATTGGGCCAGATAGCCAGTGCACAGGAGATGGCTTGCACCAGTTCTTTGGCAAGCTGGGTAAGTTTCACCAGTGGTCTCACCACCACCACTGCTGCTGCTAGAAGAAAGAAAAGCAAACATTGCATCACACATTTGATTTCTTGCCATTTGTGGCAATACATTGCACTGGACAATTTGTTTTTTGACCAGTTTGTGGCAATAATCATATTGCCCACTATTCATTGGCCACTAAGCCAGTTTGTGGCAATGTATTACAATTGGCCACCAGTCATTAGCCACTAAGGTTTTGGGTTGTGACTTTGCGTGTTTTGCACTGTTATTATACAGCTTGTGCACACTTTAAGTGTCATTATTAAAAAACATTTTGTCGCATTCAGTTGTCCTTTGTTGCCATTGTGGCATTTCATCAACTTACCATTTGTCAACATTTGCAGTGCATCATTGGCCATCATTGGCATTTCATCAGTGTTTTGTTTGCCATCTTTGGCATTTTATCAATGAAGTATTTAGAAATTTATTTGGTTTGAGTTCAACTTCAATCAAATCCATTCAAAAAGTTAAGCTCAGGATTCTGAACCTAATTCATGCAAGCCACAGCCTAATGGTCTCTTTGGCTTCACTAATTGTTGGCTGTGCCTTACAAGTGTCCTTTGGTTTTGTTGCCTGGCAACCATGCTATGATATTCTGTGGATAGGCACCTTAGTTTAGGTTTCATGCTTTCTCCTCTTGCATGTGAGCCAGGTTCTTTTCACCTTTTCAAGGCAAATCACAACAACCATTGGTTAATTGTTGCTTCAAGCATTTGGTACCAGCACCTGCCTTGACAACCTAAGCCCAGCCATGACCCACTTGTGGAAAGTGGAAGACTACTTGGAAGAGATCAAGCATTTGGCCAAACTGTGCCAATGTAATGCAGGTGGCAATCTCATTCAGAACTTGACCAAGACCTTGTGCTCCAAGCTGAAAGCTACCAAAGATTGGACAAGTGCTGCCATCTGCCAGCTGGTAGAGGTGCTCAGCACCACCAACCTGCCAGAAGACTGCAAGGCACACATCCAACAAGCTATTGAATCCATGGGCCAAGAGAGTAATCATTTGAAGACTGTGATGGCTGGCCAGACCATTCAATGTTTCAGCCCATACCTTTCCAAAGAAGACTGGTCCAAATTGGAAGAGTCACCAGCAAACACTCGCCACACCATGGCCATTGTTGCAAGCAGGTTGAGATCCATGGGGTTGGTGTCCCTCAAGGAACAAACCAAAATCCAAGCTATGGCCACTGTCTTCTATTGCTTGGTGCACAAGGGTGGCAAGCCACAGCCAATTGCTACAACCAGGAAGTCGCTTTTGAAAGAATTTACTAGTATTTTTCATTCCACACCTGCAAGTGATGTGGGAGGGCTGCCCATGTACCCAGCAAATCCACATGAGTTGGGTGAGGAATGGTTGTCCAAAGTCTACAAGCATGACGCACCTGCCCTGATCAACATCCCTCATGGTTGGGCATCCATTGTACTTGGATTGCATTTAGATACAAAAACTTGGTGCATTTGATGTGCATTCCATTTACACATATTTACACAAGCCTTCCAACTGTGCTGCACCTCCGGTGATTTGCAGGGCTACCAACAAACAGTTGGAAGATGCCCAGGCAGGGACCACAGGCCAAACCAGCTGTCAACCACAGAATGAGTCCATCCTGGGAGCTGTGATCAGCCAGGGTAATGCACTCAACCAGTTGCTGGCCAAGTTTGTGCCACAATCAAACCATTTCATTGACACTGCTTCCTCTCAACCTGCTGGTCCTAGCAGGTTGGAGTTGCCACCAAAAGAGCCAATGCCAGCTGAATTGCCTCTTGAAATGGATGCTGGGGATGCAAGCACTGTGCACCAGGAGGCTGGGCTTGTGTGTGAGTTTCCATCATCCAAAACAAACCTTGGATTTATATTCAATGATATATTGCATGCCCAACACTTGTATATTTTGTTGTTTGGCCAGGACAGTCAGAAAGAAGCTTCACAGCTCGACCAATTTGAGAAAGAAGCTTTCACTTCACTGGCTAAGGCCAAGGCAAAGGCTGCTGCCAAAGGCAAGGCCAAAGCCAAGCCAAAATCCAAGGCCAAGGCCAAGCCTGTTGCCAAGTCTCAGCAGAAGCTGACCAAGCCCCATCCATGCAGTAAGCCCAAGTATGGGTACTATGGCAAGCCACCAACTAAGGGGCCATTTGGCTGTCTGAGATGCAGAATAAAACATCAAAGGTTGTTCCCAATGCCTCCAGCCATCCTATAATGGTTTGAGATTTTCAAGCAGGCAGCAATGGTGCCAATGGGAACAGGCCAGGAAGGCACAGGGGTGATGCCACATTACTATGGTATGCACTCACCAAGCCTTTTGTGCAAAGGGTTGCAAAGAGATTTGCCAAGGGGTTCACAAAGGTGCTTGGCTGTGTAGCAATGACACTGCTCCATGGTACCAAAAGGCAGCTTATGTGCGCACAAAGTTTTTTTGCTCATACACAGTTTTAAGTACACCATGTACACAGCCAAATGTTTGTGTGCACTGGCCTTTCTGGCCTTACATCATGGTCACTTCTGGCATTACATCATAGTATGTCCAAACCTGCATTCCATAAATGCTTTTGGCTTTGTGCATTGTAGCAGCCTTTTGAGTTTGGCTCTTGCCAAGTTCCACAATGTGCATCCTTCAGCACCAATTCCAATTATGCAATGTGCAAGCATGTGCAAGGTATATGTATATTTACATGGTCAACAAGTCTTCTTGCAAGAGGGACAGCACCCTTAACTGATAGAAGGACAACACCCTGACCCTTGCTTTCACACCCTTTTGTTTGCTCTTCTGTAACCATGGCTGCTTCCTCTTCCAGGCCTCAGAAGCTGGCCAAACTCCAACAGTTCAAGGCCAATTTGCCACACCATAGCCAAACCAGCTTGCATGCTATGATTGCAGAAGCCAAGAAGACCGGCTTACCTGATTACAGCTCTCCAAAAGAGCAAA